CAAGAAGTAGGAGAGGAAAGAAGAAGAGAGAAAAGAGAGGAAAGAGAGAAAGGCTGGTTCGAATTAGAGAAAAAGATATCCCTAGATTCGGCCAGACGTGTTATTATATTATTAACTTATTGGAAAAGACTTAAGTGCCCTTCTTTAAGTAAGAGGCACTCAAACTAACATAACAGTACACATCAACATTCTCAACAAGTACAAAGGACCGAAATACCCCTTCACTAACACCACTAACACCCAGAAACCCTAGCTGACTGGAGAAATCGTACTAAGGGGTTTAGAGACAGTTTGGAGAGGTTTCTGGAGTCTGTGGTAGGAGCGGCCATTAGTTCTCTTTTTCACCCATTTCTCCCATTTTGTTGGGGTGCTGTGAAACCCTAGTTTTTTGTTGCAAAAAAAGCTCAGGTTAGTGTTTTTTTATTAGTAGTATCTTATTTTTATTTTYGTTTGCCTCCGTCTGATCAATGGAGCATACTGGAGGTGAGACAAAATATCCTACAGACTTTGGATGTAGTCAGGGGTCTGTAGAGAATCTTTGTGGGGTAGTGACTAATGTGAAGCTAGATGGGGCATTGACAAAAAGCGCCTACCCGCCTAGGCGTTTGGGTGAGGCGATCCCCAAAAAGCGCCTACCCGCCTAGGCGTTGTCTTGACAACTATGAATCCAAATGATAAGCAAACATAGTCTTTCAATGTTCAAGACCATTCTAAAAGGGCTTTCTTTTCTTTTCTTTTCTTTTTTGATAAGCCATTCTAGAAGGTTATTAACTTCTTTGTAATCTTCATGCCTCTTTCATCATGACATGGCACAACAGAATTACCTTCTTTTTTGCAGGAATCATTCTTTTCTTTTCTTGATTTTGTTCATTCTGAGTGCCCATTTGGGAGGGCTGAAGCACAGTGGCTTCTACTTTTTCAAGGTGGGCCCTACCCAAATAGCCTTTAAGCTATGTTTGGTGAAAATCTGGGGAGCCCAAATTGGATGCAATAAGTCATTTTTAGGACTGTCACTTTGGCCTCTTTAGATGGCTTTATCTGGTGTGCCTCAAAGCAGCTGAAACAGCTTATCTAAATGTTCTTCTCAGCCCTCCCAAACAGGCACTTTATAGCATTATAATGGTTTATTCTTCTTGCATCTATAATCTACAAGACCTCACTCTTCATCAATTCTGCTCCTAAATGGCTGAATTGCAACCAAGTAGTAATCATTTGATCTGTTCAACATGCAGTAGTTGAATTTACCATGGCAGATAGTAAAGTTTCTCTAATGTCTGCAAGTACCTGATAATATATAATTTTTATGATGTACCAATTCAATTGCACAGAAGGTGTTGGAATGTGGTCAGAAAAATGCTTCTGCTGATCAAACTGCATCTCTGTTTTTGTCCAAGAAACTTGGAAGATGGATTTGTGGCTTTGAATATGGTGCTACTGAAGTCAAGAATCATCTGGAGAGAGTATTCTTTTCGGATGTTGTTTCTACTGTCATGGTTATGTGAGTTTTTTACTAACTTGTCTTTGGCTATTTGGTGGGGAAGCAAGGTGCCTTTAATAAATTTTCACCTGAGTTTGTTCTTGTCATATACTTTTTCCATTGATAAGTTTTCTATTTAATATAAAAATATGTTTGGACTTTTTGAAATGCAGAATGTAATGTCTTTTCTTTTATATTCCTTGTTAGCTTTTCTCCACAGAGGCACAGTCAGATGTCTGCCAGTCCTTGGGTTTGCCACTTTCATGTATGCAAGGTAGTAGAATCCACAAGATATTGTTTTTTGATATATATATATATATATACATTTGCAGTTGTAAATTTGTTTCTTTTTCAGGAAATGATGGAACGGAGAGGACTAAATATCCAGTCTATTATAGATGCTCTTCAAAGGAACTCCACTGGAGAACAAGCAAAAATAAATCTGCGGAATATATTGAATGAACTTAGAAAGAAATACAAGTTAAGTGGAAAGCAAGTAAAAATCAAACTTCCTAATTTGATGATCTTAAGCAGGTAAGCTACCTCTATCCTAGGCAGATGTCTTTACTCATTATGTTACACAAGGGGATTTCTTTTTTGCTTTAACAGACATAAGTTAGTAGACACACTAGAAAAAGAAGAAAAGCAAATGGTGCTTGTGCAAATGGTTGTTATAGTATTTTGGAGTATTAGTGGGGATATTCATGTAAAGTTGTTATTTTTGTCGTAGATATAAATATAATGAGAAGTGGGTGGCTGTCCAACATATGATTCTTTCTCTCAACTGAACATTCTCCATTTTTTTGATAGATGAACATTCTCCTTTCTTCTTCTTGATTCCAAGTTGGTGCCAGAATACTCCCAATCATATACCTCTTTGTTCTGTGTAGAGAAAAGACAAACCCTGCTGACATTATCACGCTACTTGATGGCATCAGTAGGGCTGCGATGGCCTGCTGCTAGTGAAGACAAAAACCATATGGTTTGGTAAAGCCTAATTTTAGGTTTATATTCATCAAGGAGTTCTTGGTGTTGAGATAGGCTTATGATTTTCCTTCTGCATTTTGTGTTGAAAAAATAAGATGCCTACAGTTTTCTTTTAATCTTTTTAGCTAATTAGCTCTTGTCAATTCGTAAGGCTTTTTCTGTGCATGGCACCTTTAGAATTTTATATATTGGTAATGGTAACATAGCTTAAATTTTATATATTAGTAATGGTAACATAGCTTTATATCCATCAAAGCGAAAGTAATTCCACAGTAGCTGAAGTGAGACTTTCTTTGGCTGAAATTTAGGTCAAACTTGCATAACGTTTGTCAAATTTCAATAGTTTTTCTTTGGTCAAATAAAATATTATACCTATATCATAAAAAGAATATGATTTTGGTCAAAACATGGTCGCTTGTCAAGTAAATCACTAAAAGACATAATAGAAAAAGGAAGGATATTTTTCTAAAATAGAAGAGGAAAAATGTTACTTTTTGAAAATCTCAAATATGCATAAATTAAATGTTTGTTATATTTATTTTTGATTGAAGTTGCATCACCATGAATAGGATTATGGCTGTTGTTAGCATTGCTGCTAGGACTTTCAGGAAAATCTGAGAGGAATCAAATCATAGAAAAGAGGAGGTGAGACACATGGTAAGAGGAATCAATGGATAGATGGGGCATGGTAAGAGGAGTGGCAATCAAAAAACTGTAGGTGAGACACATGGCAGTGTGCATAGAAAAGAGGAGGGGGTTTATGGAAGACGAAGATCTACTGGATAAAGCAGAATTGTTAATCACAAAAGTTGGGTAGTTTTACTTGTTGCATTTATTCAGCAATCTTTAACTAAGTCCCAGAGGAAGAAAATTAAAAGTTAAAAAGATAAGACTGTTCACATAAATGGTCCATTTCTGTGCAGAACTTGTGAAGTTGCTGGATCTGGAGCTGGCCTTCATCAAGACACAAAGAAATTGCTGGATTTTTATGGACTGTTGGCATATTCTCTTTGGTCAAGGTCAATTAATGTTTGACCAATGAACCGCACTATGTGACTTGCTTGAGGGTCTAATACTTTCTATTGAAGTTTCATTGATTTTGGTTTAGGCACTAGTGAGTTYGAATGAGTATTCACTTTCCTGAAAATGTTTAGATCTTCCCAATAACTGAATTCAAGCTAGTAGCTGTTCACTTAAAAGGAATATGCATCTTCATGGTGGCAAGTTCCAATGGATAGACTTCATGTTGGAAGGGAGAAAATGCAGGCCTGGTTGGATTTTGAAATCAAATCCTTCTTCTAAATTTTGTAGGAATTTTGTTGCAACAGTACTAATTGCTTATCCAAGGAGTCAAGCGAGTTTGGGACTAAGCCAATGAATTATATAAAATGTGAAAAAGTGTGCAGCGGAGGTGCTCAACAAGTCATTCGGATCATCATGGTTTTAAAAACCAACCCGGAAATGGAACCGCTTTGACCATCGCTTTCAGGGTCAATTGGTCCGACCATTCGGTCTGGTCCAGTTTTCAAAACCATGCAGATCATACGCTAGTGCATGATGGGTCAATGACAAAACATACACAATTTGCTAGATAAAGGAAAGGGTACAGTTAGCAACTGAAGTAGAGAGCCTATTGTGCCAACGGTTTACTAGGTTCCAAACTAACAATGATAGGGGGACCCAAAGGAAAGGGTGCAATTGCTGGTCCAAGTCATGGGAGTTCAAATCAACTCCAGAAATCACCTACCAACTCTTACAAGTTACAACTATAGAGTTGATGGGCTGATTGGACCTCAGTGTTTTCTTTTATTTTTTATTTAATGGGCCTTAGTTGTGGGCCTATTTTCTTTGTTTTACACTTTTACTGTTATTAGTTCAGCCACCCTACCTGGAGTACTGTTGTAATTATTTACTTAATTAGAATAAAAATCTAATAAAAGTTGATTAAGGACTAGAGAAAGATACGACCAAGCTCTCTTCCTCCTCCCTTTTCTTCCTCTTCCTCCTGAACTTCTCCTTTCTTCTTCCTACTTCTATTTCTTAACTTAGAATTATTGCTGGTTTCTATTGCAACTTGGTATCAGTGCTGGTTACCACATCTTGCGTTTTCTTCTCTTAGGCCCATACACAGTGTGCATGGAGAATTAAATTGTTGATAGACTAGAGGTTGATGTTGCCTAGTTGGGGGAGTTTTCTGGAGAGGATTACACATTTATATTGAKGCCCAAGACAGGTTCTTGGAGATTTTCCTGAAAACCCTAATCAACTGGAGAAATTGGATTAATGGATCTAGAGACAGTTTGAAGCTAGCGCTTGGGGCTTAAAAGGGAGTTTTTGACCTATTTGGATTGACTTTGGTTGGTAGAGTTTCTGGAATCTTTGGTAGGAGAGGTTGAATCTTGTCTCTTTCTCCTGGGCTGTAGGGTATTGTGAAATCCTAGTTTGTGGCTACGGAGGAGCACCTTTTGCTCCAGGTCAATGTTTTTTTGATTAATAGTATATATTTTCTGTGCAAAAATATTTTTATTTATTGAATATCATCGCTAGTAGTGTTGTTAGCTGTAAGGGTATATTGGGCACATCGGGTGTATCATATCGTATCATTGGCTTAACGATACGCCCCTACAGGGGTCGTATCAGGGTGTGACCTGGTTCAGGGGGTAGACCAGCCTTAGACCGAACCCTCTGAACCAGGTCACACCCTGATACGACCCCTGTAGGGGCGTATCGTTAAGCCAACGATACGATATGATACACCTGATGTGCCCAATATACCCTTACAGCTAACAACACTACTATCGATGATATTCAACAAATAAAAATATTTTTGCACGGAAATATATACTATTAATCAAAAAAACATTGACCTGGAGCAAAAGGTGCTCCTCTGAACCAGTTTCAAAGAAAAAAAGGGGTGGGTGAGCTTCGATACAGGCCTATATGCCCCTACCGACGTATTGGCCTGTATTGATATTTTAAACCTTGATTACAGCTAATGTATCCAAAAGGGGAGGTCTTAGTAACTTCTAAAATGAGATGGGAGGTTTTAGTATTTAGGAGAAATGTAAGGGAGGTTCAAGTCTTTTACCCTAATATCTAAGATTTTATTTATAATAAGTAAGTATTAACTTATGTACATGATATTTTCTAGTTATGTATAGAGCAAACAAAGAAAATGGACTTTTACATTTCACAACCCATGCTYCATTGAGAGCACCCTACATAGGAAATATTAACTCAACAAGGTATTGTCCCCACTTCTACTCCTTCATGAGCAAGGGAATCTGCCAATGAAGAATTTGGAAATCATGTGAGGTAATGCCCACATTTTTAATCCCATTTAATGAGAGGCAATTGAATGAATGTGCTTCTTCTTTTCGAGGTAGGCCCTACACAAAGAGTCTTTAATCTATGCCTGGTGAAAAATCCAAGAGCCTAAATTGGCTATTGGTCAATCATCTTTAGGGCTGTCTGCCTTAGCCTCTTTAGTTAGCTTATCTGGAGCACCTCAAAGCAGCTGGACCACGAGAAATGGCATCGGGGCGAGGCTGAGTTTTGCACGCCCCATCCCTGACCCTGAACTCAAATCCCCCGCCCTGTCCCCGTCCCGAAACCCACTGGGGCTAGAAATCCCAACCCCATCCCCAACAGGGTGGCATCATAAATCCTGTTTTGCCGTTCCATTCTGTTTAAATGCCATATCCATTGTTAAATTGCACTTAAATCCATTTTTCACTACTTCAATGCATGTCCTTTTTGGTCTAGCCCCAGCCCTTTGGATTATCAAGCCTACAATAGTTAAAGCTCAATACTTAAGTTGTAGATCCCACCTGCAATAATCTGAAATAAAGAAAAGAAAAACAGAAGAGAAGAAGATTAAAGAAGATGGGAGAGAGGTCAATTTATCCATCCCTGATGAATTACAAGTTGTGCAATATCTTTAACATTCTACGTTTCCGTTGTTAAAATTATTTCAGTTGTATATTGAGTCATAGTATATTCATAATTTTACAATCTTTTTGTGAATTTCTATAAACCTCTATCAATTAATTCCACTTCTAAATGGAGTTTTACACCAAAATCAAAGTTTAAAACCTTTCTTGGTAATGACAAGAAAGAATTAATTGCAATTTCAGTTTCATCGTACCATGATATGAATCCATTATTTATTCTCATCTTGAACCATAACATTTTGTTTTTGACTTGCTTATTTTGTGGCAGGGACTGCACCTTCATTGACCAGAGGGAAAATGGTAGGACTTTTTGCATAGTAGTCATAGTTGAGATTACCAAGGATTCTTCTAAACAATTGGATACTGTTCGGGACTTGGTTGTTCCATTCCTCTCAAGAACTGTAATCAAAGGTTTTTTCTCATATAGGTTACTCTCCTTTTGACTTTCAATCTACTAAGATGATATTTCTAGTAACTTCATATACTTGTGGCCCTATTGGCTTCCTTTTTTCTATGATCAATTTATCAACTGCTGTTGATTTCTTCTTCTTAAAAGGCCTCATATGGTCATATTAATGATAAGGGTGAGAGGCTTGTTTGAGCCCCTGAGTGTACTTGCCATGTTGATGTTCAAAATTAGCATGGGTACTTGGCACTCTTTGCAGTGGTGCAAAACTGTTCTAAGACTTGAAATTATAAACCTCAAACTGTAATAACATGAAATTTCCATGAAACTTTGGTTGAAAACTTTGGATTTGTTTAAAGACTTCTCAGCTGTAGACATTTACAGGAATTGGGAAGTGGTAGCTTCTACAATTTCCATGAAACCTACTGTGCAGGAATTGTGGTCCCCACCAACACAACAAAGAGTGAAATTGAACTTTGATGGGAGTTCAAGAGGTAACCCGGGCCCTTCAGGTATAGGAGGAGTTTTCAGAGATGAAAATGGCAGAATTGTGGCTTTGTTTTCAGGACCAATAGGAGTGGGGGACTCATTGAGAGCGGAGGTGATGGCCTTGCTTCAAGGTGTAAGATATGCAAAACAGTTGGGGTTACACCAAATTGAGATTGAGGGAGACTCTAAATTGTTGATTGAGTGGCTGCAATCTGGTAAGTTGGGAGCCTGGATTTATAGACAGCCCATAAGGGAAATCCACAATATAACAAGGGAGATCGGTGCATGCTTCAAATGGACAAGGAGATCAGCTAATGGTTTAGCTGACACGTTGGCTAAACAAGGGACTGTGAGGGAGAGTATGTTCTGTGCAGTTTTGTAAGAAAGATAACTGGGGGCTCAACACCTACTTAGGGATTGACAGCTGTACTTAAATCTGGAAAGTTATTTTAAAGTTATTTAATGAAGTTACCGTTCCAATAAAAAAATAACATGAAATTTCCAGGTTTTCAATTGACATTTGATTCATCAAAACTCTCCTCAAAACTTGAATGAAATCCAGAAAGGGAATGAGAATCCCCAAACCCTCACATAAATGGATATTCAAATTCATAGTACTATAAAAGAAAAGATTGAGACTTGAGAGCAGATGGAATCAATAGAGAGAATGGATGTGGAATAGAAAAAATGGAGATTGTTGCCACCTTTTATCAGTGGATAGTTAAAAGCCGCCCATAATGCTTATGGGTCTCTTATTATTAAAAAAATTAAATTACCTTAATAATAAAATACCATAGTTTGATGAGTTGACCAAAGCATATTCACGAAGAGGTCTCATGGTGTATGTTGTTTGTTGATGTCATTGCCTTAACTGATGAAACTATTGAAGGATTAAATGCAAAATGAAATTAATGGACAAATATCTTAGAAACAAGAGTTTCTAAAATAAAGACTAAATCAGGGTACACATAAGATTAGAGACCGATAGATAACTCAATGTGACCTCCTTTTGTACCTTGGTTCAATAGTTCATAACAAGGGAGAGATTGAGGATGTTGCCCATAGAGTTAGAGTGTGATGGACAAAATGGAGGGGTGCATCCAGAGTCTTTTGTAATAGGCGAATACCTCTTAGACTAAAAGGTATGAGTGGAAAAACTAGAAAGGATAAAGCCATAAACAAAGTTATTTGAAGGAACCTAGGAGTAGCTCCAACGGGTGATAAAATGAGAGAAAGTAGGCTAAGATGGTTTGGTCACATGCATAGAAGACCACCGACAGCACTTTTAGGAAGAATCAATATGTTGCAAGTTGAAGGGGCTAGAAGGGCTAGGGGTGGACCAAAAAGGACATGGTCAAAGTAGATAGAAATGATTTAAGTGCCCATAATTTAACAATAGATATGGCATTAAACAGAATGCAATTGCAAAACAGGATTCATGAAGCCAACCCCATATAATTGGGATAAGGCTAGGGGAGATCATGAACCAGGCTTGGTTGGGCCTGAGTTGGGCTTAGCACATAACCTGGGCCGGCCCAGCTCAGACCCCAAGCCTAAAATATAAGTTCGGCTTTTGGCCTATGGTCTCAAGAAATGAATTTTAATTATTTATAAAATTTTAAATTATATGATGTATAAAACATGAAAAGAAATGCATGGGCCTGAACCTGGAAATTTGCGAGCTGGGCCAAGGTTGATCACCCCTTGATGAATAAAACACTAATAGTTATAAGGGAATGTAATTTTCCATGTTTTCGACATGTCAATACCTAGAATTTAACCATTTTAAAGGGCCGAAATAGGAGTTGTCTACATAACATTTGTTATCAAAATTGRRGGTTGCATCATGAATTAGGGGATCTGTACAAAATATCAAAATGCAATTCAACAAAAGAAACATTGGATTAAACTATGATGGATTGTTTGTACTAAATCAGTAACTTTTAAATTGATAAGTACTTTTCATTTGCTGATCAAAAAACATTGGATTAAACTTTGATGTTTATGGTGCAAATAGGGTGTGGTTACATTCACATCTTTCCCTCTCACCTATACTATATTGAATTTAAGATTCATCGTCATCATCCATACCTTGAGATATAGGATCAGCTACATGAATCCTGTTTCACCAATCCATTMTATGTAAAGTCATATCCACTGTTATTAGTGCTTAAATCATTTCTTACTACTACCCATGTCCTTCTTGGTCTACCTCTAGCCCTTCTAGCCTCTTCAACTTGTAACAAATCACTTCTTCTCACTGGTGCTGTTGATGGTCTTCTATGCACATAACCAAACCATCTTAGTCTACTTTCTCTCATTTTATCATCTTTAGGGGCTACTCCTAAGTTCCTCCAGATGACTTAGCATTCACATTTCTGCCACTCATTTTCTGGACATGTTTTTTGACTGCCCAACACTCTGCTTCATAGGTCATAGCTGGCCTTACAACTGTTTTTAGAATTTTCCTTATAGTTTAAGTTGTATTTGCCTATCACATAAAAGTCCAGTGGTAAAATCATGGGCTGACAAGTCATCAGAAAACAATGTGCACTATGGAACTTCCTCCTGAATATGTTTAGTCAATTCATCTATGATCAGTGCAAATAGATAAGGGCCAAGCGCTGATTTGCACTCCTATTAGCACAAAATAGGAGCTACACTCCTATTTGAGTTATCTCTTTGTCTCTTGGTCTCCAATTCCAGACTATTACTGATTTTTTTTAAAATATACACTATCTTACTATATGAAATAAGAAATAGCTAATAACAATGAAAACAGATAATAATAAGAATTTGTTTTCTTACTATTTTAATTATGGTTATAGTTTTAAAATGTTTTTACATGGTTGTCTCCCCATCTTGACACTTCGTTACTTGCAACTTTTCCATATAACTAGGCTGCACTGRTTTTAAGGAGTAGGATGAAATTATAAAACTTCTTACCTTACCATACTCTGCATTTATTTTGGAATTTCAAGATTAAATAAAGGATGGGATGTTTTCTGCATCATGAACTTTGCTAAACATGCTAGAGTGATCTTGAGTTGTGAAGTTGTATGGGGATCGTAGGGGCCATTTTTTGGTGCAGTGGTAAAATCATGGGCTGACAAGCATGAGAACACAACTTTGAATCTGAAAGTGATCTCTTTGTACAAAAAAGGTTGAAGTTTAGGCCTGTATTCAGCAATGTTGCATGGACATCCCACCTTTGAAGGGACTTGTGTCCACGAGTTGACATGTCTGGCTTTTCAAATGTCAGACTCAGCTACAGGATAAATCAGGTGGATTTACTAAAATGTCCTCCAATCAGCTCTCCAAAGATATATTTCTGATAACAGATGTAGATAGGATTGATGATATACATAAATATATGAATGCCTGCCTGCCTCCATGAGTACATACATATGCATATATTTATCAATTCAGTGACAGATAGTAAAATATTTTTCAGGATTCTTGGAGTTCAAGAGTGTTGATATTTTGTGGAATGATCTACCCCAGTCTTCAAAATCCCATATGTTTTCTTCTGGTGAACTTTATCTGAAGGTTTTTATGTCAGAAGATTGTGAAAGAACAAAATTCTGGAGTTCTCTTCAAAATGCATGTCTTCCAGTTATGGATCTTATTGATTGGGAACGCAGCTATCCAGATAATATTTATAATATTGTTTGTGCTTATGGAATAGATGCTGGATGGAAATATTTTTTGAGGGTAAGTTTTTTAAGGATAATATTTATGATATTGTTTGTGCTTATTCTAGCTTCTTTTGTTTGGCTATCCAGCAACAATTTTGTAAGTTTTTTAATCTGATATTTGCATTGCAGAGTTTGAAGTTTGCACTATCTGATATTGGAAAGACTGTACTGCTCGAGCACTTGCTTCTAGTTGCAAATTCTCTTTCATTTACAGGGGAGTTTCTTGGCTTAAGTGCTAAAGGAATAAAAAGACAAATGGATCAAGCATCTGTCTCATCTCCCTTCATGCAAGCATGCTTTTCTGTTAGTTTCTTTTCTCCATCTCCTTTTTTTTTATGTTCTTTTTTGTTATCTTATAGATAGCTCATATAGGAGTAGTTTGTTTCTGGCCCAATAAATCTGTTCGTGATTTGGAACTTGTAGAATCCTGGTGCTTGCTTCATCAAAGCTGCTAAAGAGGGGGCTGTTGATGATCTTCAGGGTATTCTTGATTCAGTGTCCTGGGGAAAGAAGGTCCCAATTGGCACTGGGGGACACTTTGATATTCTATATTCTGGAAAGGTATGCAGTATCACTAGCATAGGAATCATGTTATTTATCAAAACAAATATACCTTATTGATCTTAGTTTCAACACTTACTACAAGTACTAGTTTGGGAGGGATGAATCACATTGGCTTCTGGCTTTTTGAGGTGTTCCCTACACGGACAGCCTTTAAGCTATGTCTTGTGTTGGTTAAAATATCTGGAGTGCCTAAATCGTCTATCAATCAGTCATTTTTTGGGTTGTCTTCTTCAGACTTTTTAGATAGCTTATCTTGAGTGCCTCAAGCAGCTGAACCAGTGTTTTGCTGACTGTTCAGCTCAGTCCTCCCAAAAAGGCACTAAATGAAATGCTAATATTATGTGTAAAACTATTATCTAGTGCCTGCTTTATGCTGGATACAAAGAAGAAAGATTGGTATTAATTTGATTCTTGAATTCCTAGTTTGACCCCAATATTTGACTGCTTTCTCTTGCTAGTCTCTGCCTTTGGAGTTTTCTCCTCTAAAGCCTAATTTGATCCCAGTAGAAAATACACACATATGGATGATTAAAAAGTACGCAAAACACCCTTGTATGGACAATTGTGTGCAGTATTTTCTTACTTTGACCGGAATGGATGGTTGAACCAATGAACTGGTGAGCTTTCCATGTCTCAGTTATCTGATGATTTTCACTGGTTGGCTGATCCAACTGCCTAGTTAACTGGTAAAACCATGACTCAATCACCTTTCTACTTTTCTATCTAATCTGAGTCTGAAAACATTGATTGTGTGGCCTAATTTCTCCCTTGTGCACCGTTACAACTAATGAGAGAGATTGCACAACAGGCTACCAGGGGTGGAGCTAGGATTTTCTCTTGAGGGGGGGGGGGTGCAAAAAGTAGTAAACATGGATAGGGGGCCAAAAGTTAGTAAACTTGGGTAGGGGGGACCAAAATATAACTGAGGTTGAAATGGGTATTGTGGGGATTTTCAAGGCAGGGGGGGGCATGGGCCCCCTACCACCCCTGGCTCTGCCCCTGCAGACTACAATGATGAGGATAAGCTATAGATTTGCTGCACCATGTGCTAACAGCATTGCAGGTGCATTAGCAATAGCAAGACAAGGTGTTAACTGAACTTAGTGGTGGATTTGAGCCGAGCTGAGCCAAATATCTGGCTGTTCAAGCTTGGCTTGCCAAAAGAACATGAGGCTCAAGTTTGAGCTGGAGCTTAATTCGAGATAGAGACTTGAGCTCAAATTCGGATCAACACAAAAGCTCATATTTTGAGCTTGGCTCAGCTCGAGCTCGTCTGTGAACCAAGGTTCCTATAAAAAAATAAAAAAATTATATATAAAATTTATTTATTATTGTACATCTAATAATCTAATGTATACATATTATCAAAATGTATGTATATATATATATATAGAGAGAGAGAGAGAGAGAGAGTGCAAGCTCAATTAGGCTCTCAGTCCAAGCTTCATTGGGCTCGAGCTCAACTCAAAGCTTGGTTTAAATTGATCTGAATTGAACTTTCATGAGCCAAACTCGAATAGCTCGTGAAAAGATCAATTCATGTGCACCCTAAGCTCGGCCTAGCAAGGGCTAGACCTAATTTTGTGGTGCTTGGCATATTCCTATCATATATCATAGAAGTCAGTATAGGGTTTGTAGAGAGACTGTCGAATGAGAAATGTGTGTTACTCAAATGTGATACTTATAATTTTATATTTTTAGGGAAAATTACAAGAAGGCCCTCACTTGGACATCCAAATACAAAGGATCTCAACAATCATATAGTACACTTCTTGGAATACATGACATTTATAAAACACAATTCTATATGTTCCATTCACTCATTTTGAAATATAATATGACATATATTAATTATTTCCTGAGTGTAAAGATATAGCACTACATGGCCCTAAAACTATCTTCCCAATTTATATATAAGAGTTTTCACTCACAAGAGCTTAGTTATCCCATGCGCCATAGCCTGCATTACTGCAGATTGACACATTCCCAGCTACCAATTGGGTATTTGATAAATAGCTCTCACATGTGGCATCAGAGTAAATGTGCATAATGAAACTGCCTATGGTTCACATGCAAGATATGTCTCATTTGGACATGAACATCTATAGCCATAGTCAACTTTTTCTTTTAGTTTTGTATCTATTCTATATGATTTTTTTTCGTGTTGAAGCATGTAACTTTTTATAATAAGACTACAATCTTATATTCAATAATAGTAGGTGGCTTTCCTTTTGATATTTGTCCCTAGCTGTATCTTTCAAATGCTCATATATTGGTATAGAATTAGGGACCATTGCTTGGTGCAATAATAAAATCATAGGCTGACAAGTGTAAGAATGCAGTTTCAAGTCTGAGAGCAGACATTTTTGGTACAAAAATGCCAAAGTTTAGGTCCATATCCAGTCCATCCTCCCCAAGACCCAGGATAGTTAGGACCAACATTGTAAAATGGCTCTATTTATATTGACGTAGAATTGTGTAGTTTCTTCATTTCTTAGAAAATATATTTTTGGAAGGTCTTTGATAATCTTCTTATTGTGTTACTCATTCTAAACATCTTCAGGGGTTTACACCTGCTAAACCTACAAATATCTACAGTGCACTATGTCACGAATCTAAATCTCATGGGGAGAATGTAGAAACGGGTTTAACAGATGCTTGCAGAAAAGTGTGCTGCAAATGGGAGAAACAATCCTTCTATGCATCTAAAGATCCTTTACCTAAGGGAGATAGTTCAGAAAACTTGCCAAGTTCAGTTTTGAGAAGTATCTATTCTAGAGAAGATGTTCTGAAGTTGAATAGTTCATTGAAGCACATATTGCACAAGTATGTAAACATTCCATTGTTTTTCCCCTTCTTGTAGCATTATATGATTTGAGGCTAATGAAGTACCATGTCCTTCAAAGTTTAATCTTTTATCTTTAATATTATCCTATATTTTGAAATGACTGTATTTGGCACAATGTTTTTTTTTACTGAATGGATGGTAAACAAGTTTCCCTATCAAAATAATATTCAAATTATTGTTCATGGAAGAATAATGGCCTTTTTTGATAAATATTGTATCTTACTAAAAAAGAGGTTGAGATTCTCTGAACAGCAGGATTCAAGTCCAATAACAATAGACTAAACAGCATTAAGGACTAGAGCACAAGGGCCTCTGGGTCCTTAGCAATACCACAAAAGATGGACAAAAAATTAAAGTCTCATTGCCTCCCAATATGTTATTGTGTAACACCCTCAAGAGCCTTCAGATTAGCCACTTAATGCACCCTCAACTTTGCCAATGATAGCCCTCATAGTAGAATGTTTTCCTTCAAATATTCTCATTGAAGTGCTTCAGAATATGGGATTAAACCTTATATGTCAACCTACCCATCAAAAAAAAAAAAACTTATATGCCAACCCTGAATATACAAGTAATATGCTTTATGGATTTATCCTCTTGACCAATAAGTTGCACACAGTATCAATGATTAGGGGATCAATGGTAAATATTCTGTGCAAGATAACTATCCACATGAAGAAGTTGGCTTTTGACGTCCAATTTGACCTCCACAGCCATTTCTAAGGGAGAAAATTGTCTGATCCCACCAACATCACATGGAATAAACTGAAAGAGAAGTTATCTCTGAAGTCAGCTTTCCAAAGTATGGGATTAGATGACACCAGATGGATGGGGGCCTTTTTCAGTGTATCCAACAGATTAATCAAAGATTCTGCCTACCCATACAATGTTTCCAGCTACTAACTTGTAAGTGATTTTGGCTATGTTAAACAGGTTGGTATATATCACAAAGGCCTCTCTCCAATCCAAGTATCCCTTCAGAACTGAATGTGTTCACCTATGCTCGCTTCTTAAGTGATATTCTGATTGAATTCTTATCAGATCTAGCCCCTTCAAATGCCTGATCCATAGGTGCACGGGATAGTCATCAATTCTCAACCCATGGGGTTCTGCCTGTATTTACTAGACATTGTCTTTTGCCTTAGGTTCTCTTTTTCCACTGCATATTTCCAGACCACTTGGAGAGCATTGTTCATGTTCCTTAACTGTGAATACCACCCTTTGTTTTGGTGTACAAACCAGAGACCAAGCCACTAGATGGAATTTTCTTTCATCACCCATCCATCCCATAAGTAGTCCTGTCTAAGCCTTTTCAAAGTGTTTGCCATGCCACAGACACCAAGGCAGGGATTGCAAACGTTGACATGAATAAATAGATAGTGGGATTTGAAATAGCTCTTTTGAATTAGAGTTAACTTACCACCCAAGAACTTGGACAGCAGCTTGCCTTGTCTATAACCAAGGGTGGTAGCTAACTCCCCAATATTTGTCACCTCACCAATTGTCACAAGCTACACCTTATGGAGATTAATCTTCAACCCCTATGCAGCTTCAAAATAGATGAATCAGAAGCTGAACTGAAAAACATATCTTCTTGCCATGATGTAGTAAAAATAATGAAAATTATCAGCATACTGTAAAGAACTATGGAGGGGATGGAGGGGCTATTTTCACAAACTAAAGCCCTCTATCTAGCACCATCACACACTAAGGGCCTCAGTCACTATAATAAATAAGAAAGGGAATCAGGTTGTCTTTTGTCATAGATCGTATATAAAAAAATAAAAAAGAAAGAGGGGGGCATCCCCTTCTACTGATATTTATAATCTAATTATGATTTATAAAAGGACCATAATAATCCCTATGAGAAAATAAAGACAAAATATAATCAATGCCCTTAGACAAAAATACCTAAATACCTTTAAAGTCTATTCCATAGTTCATACAATCTCCTTCAAGTGGAGTATGGATGGATATCTATCATGCTCAACTAGTAAAAAATGTCAACTTTGATTGTACAATGTCTTAAGTAAGGAACCCAGTCAATTGATTATTTGTATTTTATTAAGAGTAGGCAAATTTTTTAAACATCAACCTTCTCTCTATTGAAATTCTGGTTCTCTTCAATATGCTTGGTGCGGTCATGTTGAACCAGATTGTAAGCAATGTTGTTTGCAGCTTGTTGACATCCATTATTGGTCATACTTTTTATTGCTGTACCAGCAGCAGGGGTAGTTTAGTTATAGCAATTGAAAGGGCTGCGCACCCATTATTGTTCTTCTCAACTCATTCTGTTCTCATTCCTTATTCTTCTCATAACTTCTTACTGTCTTCTTGTTTTTTGAATTATTTTTATTTAAATCAAAATAGATCTTTTTTCATTAGTGACAAATCAGCATTGCTGTCACAATATAATATCATAAGTTGCCAATGCTTACCCCTAGATCAATGAGAGCATGCTTTACCTGTAGTAACTTTGAATTGCCATGAGTCATTGCTCTAGACTTATTTTCAGCACTGGACCTACCTAATAAAAATTGCTTCTTCTCMAAGTAATTAGATTTCCCCCAACAAATTTAGTATCTTGTAGTTGACCTTCTTGTCATCCACGTAAGTTGCCCAATTAGCCTAAGCTTCTACTTGAAATGATCACGCTTGGCAAATATTAATCACTTTCCAAGAGTAGCTATCAAGCAACATAACATTCTTTTTGTGGTTTGAAAATGTCTACCATGGAGTGTGCATATACTAATGACTCTAACAGTATAAGATATGTTGGTTCTAGTCAAACAGAGATATATCATCTGGCCAACTAGTCTGTCAAATTTTCCTATGTCTTCAAATAGCTTGCCTTCCATAGCATTTAATCTCTGATTTAGACCTATTGGGGAATCAGCTGATTTGGCCCCTAGTTTTCCTATCTCTTGTAGTAAGTGTAATACATACTTTTGTTGTGAGATAAAATTACCTTTTCTTGATCTAGCAACTTAAATTCCCAAGAAGTACTTGATTATTCCCAAATCCCTAACTTTAAATTCAGATGCTAAGAGTTGTTTGAGTCAYATGATTTAAGAAAAATAATTACTTGTTAGAACAATGTCATCTATATAGATAATGATTGTTATAGTAGACTGCACTTCTTATTTAACAAATAGTGTATTATCAGCCTGACTATGCTTCTTCTCTATAGCTTGAGGAGATTATTTCAACCCATAATCCTCCCCTCACTAATCATAAGCTATAAACCCTAGTACAGGCAACATGTACACTTCTTATAGATCATGTAGGAAAGCATTTTTTGTGTCAAACTGAGACAATGGCCATGAGTAAATACTACCGTAGTGAAGAGAATACATATTGAATTCATCTTTGCTACAAGAGAAACAGTCTTGATGTTATCAATGCCATAAGTTTCGATATCTTCTTTTGTTACAAGGCAAGGATTGTATGTCTAACTGAACCATCAACTTTGTTTGACAGTGAACATCCATATACATCCTACTAGTTTTTCCCCTTATGTTGAAGATTAATCAGTTTTATGATGTTTTTTATGAGTAGATGTTTTATGTTAGTTGTTGGATAGGAGGTGGGGACCACAGTAGTTATGTGAGTCCAAATTTTATTATGTTTTTGTGTCTTATATATGTTGTTTTATGTGTCGCCCTATAAGGGCATAGTTGTCTTTGTACTGCTCTATTATTTTTAATATAGATAATAAGTGAAGGGGGCGGCTAGATTATTGCTCTCCTTTCTTTTCAACTTCTCTTCTTCTCTTCTTCTTCTCTCTTCCTTCTTTCTTCAAGAAACTCCTTTTATTTCATATTTTTTAATTCAACAAGCTTTCTACTTGGTATTAGAGTAGCGGCTAGGGTTTCTAGAAGCATTCTCATGCAGCCCTAGATCAACCGACTGCATGAAGTAATAAAGGGCTGATCGATCGGCTGTAGATTGCCCAGTTCTTGGATTTTTTGGTGGGATCTAGTCATTAGGAAGGTGATCTACTGTTCGGCATCAAAATCAGGAAGAACTAGAGTACGGGGAAGAGTCCCGGAAAAGTTGGACTCTTTGTTTTTTATCTGATCTTGGGCGGCCAGGTATTGTTAGCTATCTTTTGATTTTTTGAAGAGTGCGGTTTGGTTTTTGGATTTTTCTGAGCCTCCTGGAGTGATCGATTCACTCTTCTCTCTGTTGGGAGGCGTGGGGAGGAGAGAGATTTCTCTCAAGCTAGGGTTTTGTTCTTCCAATCTATTTTTTCTTACTGTTGAACTGTTTAAAGTAAGGAGAGTTGGAATACCGAGATGAAATCTACCGGTACTGTGGGACTGGGTGTTGGAGGTAGTAGTGATATTTTTGGGTCTGGGATCATTACTATAGTAAAACTTGATGGTACAAATTATTTGGAGTGGGCACAATCAGYTAAGATGGCTATTGGTGCCCGTGAAAAATTAGGGTATCTCACTGGGGAGGAGAAGAAACTTGATACAGACTCTTCCCGATGGGTGTAGGAGAATTACATGGTAATGTCCTAGCTGTGTAATTCTATGTTACCTCATATTGCAAAAAACTTCCTATGCGCTAATACTGCGAAGGAGATTTGGGATGGAGTGACTGAAACCTACTCTCGGAAACAAAATGAAGCAAGAGCCTATCAGTTAAGGAATCAGGTGATAAGTATGAAACGGGGAGAAAAACCTCTTGCTGTGTATTTCTCCATGCTGAAAGCCCTATGGCAGGAAATAGATCACTTAGAAACTGTGGTATGGGAAAGTGTAAATGATGCAGCAACCTATCACAGATTGGTAGAGAGGAATAGGGTTTTTGAGTTCTTGGCAGGGCTGAACCCTGAATTCAACATTGCTAGGCAGCATATTCTTTCTGGGGAGGGTGTGCCACTCTCTCAAGCCTATGCATTTGTCTTTGGAGAGGAGAGTAGGAGGAATGTAATGCTGAAACGGCCTGGGATTGACCAGTCGGCTAT